CCCTTTTCGTTAGAGAGGCTGACATCGAACGTGAACGAGCCGGATTGTAGCAACCACATGGCCAGGAATATGTGCGGTTTTGGCGTGTTGCTGTCGATCACTCTCATAACGGTGAGCGCTCTGAAGAGATCTTGGTGCTCTTGTTTCCTCTGATCCATTATGAAATTATGGCAATCAATGTGAACTGGTACAACACCTGAAAAATAGGATAATGAACTGGTATCAAATATTTTATATTCAACAATTACCCTGTAGTTGTAATGTATTGTTAAAGGTGTTCAAATATATAATCAACTTCCTGTTGAAATAAAAGAATGTAACAGCAAATTATTTAAAAAAAAAGCTGAAAAAATACCTTGAGTAAATAGACGCTTTGAATTGGCTACATTTGTAATCTTTTCAAGAATTTTTGTATAAACGCAAAGTAATGATAGGTAGTGACAAATTCTGTGATATAATTAGGCTATTATTAATACTATGCAACCAATGTACCTGACAAAATGTACTCTATAATTTTAATGACTCTTTTTTTTACATGACATGTTTTTTTTAGAGTAAGGACCTCTATGGAAATGTAATTTTCCGTGGTTCAATAAAGACTTCTTCTTCTTGTATGCATAAGAGTTGAATACACTGCGACCTAAAAGATTCATTGTGACCCGTTTTTATTAATTATTACCACCCTTTTATTAGCCTCACCTTTATGTATATGTATATGTATGTATGTAACCTGTTGTGTTTTGTGGTGCCTATGATGCATTTCTACATTCTATGCAAGACTGTCATAAGTGTCATTTTGTAATCTGTCACATCATATGTCACTGTCGAAGTCAGTAGTTAAAATAGAAGGTTAAGGATGTTGCACATAAATTCTTCACGTGTAAAGATTGTAGTAAAGAAAAAGAAAAGATAAGAATAAAAATCCATTTATCAAAAGGTCATCGTAAGACATCTTTATTCATAAAGCCAAGTCCAGATATCTCAAAATAACCGACTCTCTTAGACTCAATTTGGACCGATTGATTTGAAATTTGGTAGGTATACTTAAATCGGGTGGCGATGCATCATCAAAAAACAAAATGGCGGCTCCAAAATGGCGAACGAGTTTTGTAATTATGATCCGATTCTATTCAAATTTGGTATCTAGGAATTTCGGGGTCTGAGATTATGATTCTTTCGTCAAAATTGGTAAATTCAAGACGGCGGATCCAATATGACGAACGTGTTCTGTAATTTTGAATCGATTCCATTGAAAATTGGTATCTGGGGGTTTTTGGGATCAGAGATAATGAGTTTTTCGTCAATATTTTATAATTCAAGATGGCGGATCCAATATGGCGAAAGAGTTTTGTAATTATGATCCGATTCTATTCAAAATTGGGGTTTTCGAGGTCGGAGATAATTATTCGTTAGTCAAATATAGTAAATTCAAGATGGCGGACGGGTTTTGTAATTATGACCCGAATCTATTCAAAATTTGTATCTTTTCGGGATCGAAGGTTACGATTCTTTCGGCAAAATTTGGAAATTCAAGATGGCGGATCCGATATGGTGGAGGAGTTTTGTAATTATATGATCTGGTTCTATCCAAAATTGCTATCTAGGGGTTCACGAGGTCGGAGATTATGATGCTTTGGTCAAAATTGGAAAATTCAAGATGGCGGATTAAATATGGCGGACGGATTATGTGATTATAATCCGATTCCATTAAGAATTAGTTTCTGGAGATTGTGGAGGTAGCAGATTATGATTCTTTCGGCAAAATTGGCTACTCACAACAAATATAAGAACAGTAAGAAACACGATTTTGTAGTGCCTATTTGCCACGTCGAACATTGAATTATATTTGTTGAATATCCAAAAAGAGAGCATGAAAGATCAAAATCCTCTGAAATTGAGAATTAACATCATCTCTCAAATCGAATTTTTTTTTTATCGATTGGAGCGCACGAAAGGGAATCCCTATAATGTTCAAAGAACATCGTGCGTTCCTAGGGAGGATAGGGACAGGAGGTAGGTATTGGAATTTTTTTTGAATTTTTGGAGATTATATGTTGTTTGTTGGGAATACTTCCACAGGCAATGAATTCCAGAGCCTAGCCGTTCTATGGATGAAGGAGTCTTGATAAAGTGCTGTTCGACATCTTTCGAGGTTGACAACGAAAGGATGTGCTGACTGGGCTTGTCTAGTTCGTCTGGTTGGTATTGCTAGTGAAGGGATGATTGCAGAGATTTCCGAAGAACATTTCCCGTGGAAGTATCGATAGAACAGTGAAAGGTCGCCGACCTTTCTACGGTGTTCCAATGATGTCAAAGAGTGAGTGAGTGTGGCGTCACCCACCAGGCGAATGGCTCTTCTCTGAATGGAATCTAAGAGCAGCAGCGTATGTTTTGGTGCTGAACCCCATATGTGGGAACAGTATTCTAGAACAGGCCGTATCTGCGCTTTGTAGATCATGAGAAGCTGTTGAGGTGTAAAGTAGCTTTTCGCACGGAACAAGAATCCGAGTTTTTGTGAAGCAGCTTTTGCGATGGATCTGACATGATTATACCATTAAAGAGTGTTGCTGATGGAAATACCGAGCATAGATATGGTGGGCTTGGTGGGGATGGTGGAGCCAGACATTACAATATTGGGCATACTGAGTTCCGCCTTTCTAGAGAAAATGCAGGCTTGAGTTTTGGTGGCGTTGAATAGAATAATATGATGTATTATGATGTAAAAATATAACTTACCGATATGTTCAGTATTGAAATGAAAATTGAAATGAATAGGAGAAGTATACTTGTATGAACTCTGATCTTGATGAGCTTGGAACTTCAAAAAAAAATCATTCGTATCAGTGATATGGGAATTATATCTCTCACAAACAGGAAAGTAGTTGTTTTCTGTTGAATATTCAGAATTATATTATATGCATATCTTTATATGAAGGAGAATGCAAACTCTCTACTTCAGAAGATTTTGTTTTCAAATTCTCATCGTGTGTGTTCAATAGATGTAATTCAATATTCTTCGTGGCATATAGCCAGGAAAGCAGTTGTTTTCTGTTGAATAAACTGTGAAAGAATTGATATTTTCATCACATGAAGAATGCGAATTCTCAATGTATTCCTTTATACAGGGTGTTTCATAGGTTAAGGGAAATATTTCACTGGTACATAGGGGTCACCAAGGTGATTCTGAAAATACCATATTTGATAGGTCTTAGAGTCTTCATAACGGAGATACAGGGCGATTTATCGATTTCGAATAATTATTCATTCGTCTATAAGTATTGAACTACCCGGTATATTTTTCTCAAATTTGGTATGGAGCTCCAACTTGGTACGTTGAATTAATTCACCTATCGGGCGGAGCGAAAATCCAGGTTCGGCTTCAGGAAAAATTTACATTTATTCGAAATTTTTAAATAACACACTCTATGTAATAACTAACATCGAAGGAGTTCATCGAAGGAATCGTGAAGAGGAGGAAAAACTGAATTGGATTTGATGCTTCTTGTTTTCCCGTCACCAATTCGCATCGTAACAATCATAAACAAAAAGTTGAAAGTATGTCAATTTGAAGAGTATTAAAATAATAAAACCAGTTTCAATTATGATTATTTGATATATTTTAGTTAAGTGATCGTTCGAAAGAACTTACTAAGTCTCACTGTCTTTATAACAGAGATACAGGGTGAATTATCGGTTTCGAATAATTATTTACTTGTTCATTAGTATTGAACTACGCAGTAATATTTTCTCAAATTTGGTACGGAGCTTCCTTGGGACGTTGGATTCATTTTACTATCGGGCGGAATGGAAATACAGGTTAGGCTTCAGGAAAAATTTACATTCATTCGAAATATAAAAAAACACACTGAATTCAATAATTAACAAAGTTCATCAAAAGAATAATTGTGAACGGGAGAAAAAACTGAATTGGATTTGATACTTCCAGCGATTATTCAACTAGAAGATATCAAATAATTATTATTCGATAATTCACACTGTATCTCCGTTATCAATACTGTGAGACTTTTCCTGATGCTGAACCTGTATTTCCATTTCGCCTGATAGGTCAATAAATCCGACTTCCTAAGTACCAAATTTTGAGAAAATATTACTGGGTAGTTCAATACTTAAGGACGTGTGAATAATTATTCGAAACTGATAATTCACCCTGTATCTCCGTTATAAAGACTGTGATACTTAGTAGTGAGTTATTTCGAGCGATCAACTAACTAAAATATATCAAATAATCATAATTAAAACTGGTTTTATAATTTTAATACTCTTCAAATTGACATACTTTCAACTTTCTGTTTACGATTGTTACGATGAGAATTGGTGGCGGGAAAATAAAAAGCATCAAATCCAATTCAGTTTTTCCTCCTCTTCACGATTCCTTCGATGAAATCCTTCGATGTTAGTTATTACATACAGTGTGTTATTCAAAAATTTCGAATAAATGTAAATTTTTCCTGAAGCCGAACCTGGACCTTCACTCTGCCCGATAGGTGAATAAATTCAACGTCCCAAGTATAAGCTCCATACCAAATTGGAGAAAAATATACTGGGTAATTCGACACTTATAAACGAATGAATAATCATTCGAAATCGATAAATCTCCCTGTATCTCCATTATGAAGATTCTAAGACCTATCAAATATCGTATTTTCAGAACCACCTTGGTGACCCCTATGTCATGTACCATTGAGATATTTCCCTCTACCTGTGAAACACCCTGTATATATATATCCATTTTTTGTGTTCATAAATATATCTGAGAATGTTCCTATTCAATACTTGAACGATGGAAACTTGTGATTTTTATAGACCGCAGATTCGTGATTAGGTTTTTCTCAATTCAGAATTTCTTTCCACGTCCTGTATGATGAATGTCAATTTATCATAGATTTGAAAAAAATAACTTCATTACGTTTTTTGTATGTAAAATTGTGGCACATTCATTCGAAGACACTAAATAAATATCCATTAACATCGACACTAAAATGAGTAAACGCAACAGAGAAGATCGCGATATGGACAAAGATGAACATAGTAAGAAAACATGTAAGGAACTGGAACGAGAAATTCAAATAATAAAAGATAAGTTACATGCTACTTCATCTCGCTCCCGCATGGAGAATAGAAATGATGACCAAAGGAAGTCCCGATCGAATCGTCGAAAGTCTCGTTCTGCTTCACGGAAACATTCCAGGTCTCGTTCCAGATATAGGACCCGTTCTAGAGAGAGGAATAATTCGAAGACGAACCCTACAAGTAGAGCCAGTTCTAGGCATTCATCATCACATGCAAAGAACTATCCGAGTGGCCAAATCCTGTTCACAAGTTTGAGTAATTCTTCAAGTGGCTCCTCAAATGTAGCCAGACCCTGTAGCTCCTCTCATGAAGCTAGTTATGTTGCATCACCAACAGAAAACAGCCCTAAAAATGAAGCCAAGGAAAATGATTCTTCTGCTATCAATATTGAAAATCCCCTAGGGGATGAAATTTTACAGGTTTGAGATACATGGCATTTTGAAAACCAGGTGGAATCATATTCTATGCAATGGTTTAGAAAAGGAAGGAAAACAGAAACTGTTAGCAAAACATATCCCTCCATCTAACTTATCAGCATTAATGGCTCCAGAAGTGAACCCAGAAATTTCGTCTGCTCTTTCTGAAAAAGATCGAGCATCAGATCTTCAGAACATCAATGACTGCAGAAGAGTGCTGTTTACAAGAAAGAATCGAGCAATCGAAAACATTCCCCCTACAGCAGATGCTTTAGCACAACATATTAAACGAGCTACTCTTCAAGCAAGAATCTGTAACAATAGCCTCGATTCACAATACGCAATACCTTCCCCAACCAATTGGGGATGGACTGTGATTTCAGAAGGATCATACCGACCTGTGTGGACAATAATTCTGGAAGTGGCAAAACACTGTGTACAACTTACCACTTGTACTTGCCGCAAGAGATGCACATCTAGTAAATGTATTAAAATGGGGATACGATGTACAAAACTTTGTGTATGTGAAGGACAGTGCTCCGACAGTGATCGGTAATCACAAGTGGAATTTTTAGTTTTCCAACCCCATTAAATAATATTACACCTTATTATTTTCTTTGTATACCAGTTTATTTCACAATATATGTACTGAATTCGCATATCAAATTAAAATAATATTGTATTTAAATTCTTTTATTTCTCGTTCGTGTACCTATTGATTGAAACGTATCTCACAATCATCTTAGGTATGACTCCTATCACTGATTTTAAAACGGAAAAGAGTTTCAATTGCAATGAACATGCTACAATTCATTTAATATATATATATATCAAAAATTACAATAAATACATTCGCTACTAATACATATATTATATGAATTACATCCTTGCCATAACTGTGCGATGCTACATTGTTTTGACACATTTTCAGTAACTGTTTGTTATAAATAGTTATATATACCGTTCGAAAGCCAATTCATTGACGAACAAGAAGTATTCGACAAGTTTTTGGCTATATGCAACGGGTTTCGAGCAATTCAGCAAAAAGGTTCGATAGAAACCAAAATTGAATAAAAAAAAATAATTATTTTGCAATTATTTCTATATTTACAAACTTAAACAATAATGTATTTTATACTGTTGGAAAGCCTATTTTCTCCTCATCAATAATCACTAATGATATTAGTTAATATTCTAATACAAACCCGAGTTACACAGGGAAATGTGAAAGCTTGTCACAAAACTATGGCGGCCATATTGATTACGTCTTCAACGCCGCTAGAGGGCTAGAAAAATTTGTGTCCCGGGCTTTTTCAACGCGTCTACCCATGTAATATCTGAATCTGAAAGGGCGCATTGGTTGCCAGATGTGAAATATTTTGGTAAAATTATCAGTTAACCGACCCCACTATATGTACATAACAAAGCAGACGATGAGTCTCGCATATTACCTGATTAAACCGAATGGGAATTGGCAGATTTTGGTTTTAAAACAATTGTTAAAAATCTTGGACAACCAGAGGTTGATTTGTTTGCGTCAAAACTCAACGCGAAGTGTGCAAATTACATTTCTTGGTTCAGAGATCCTGATTCCATAGAAATAGATGCGTTCGCTGTATTTTGGGAAAACGTATTTTTTTATGCCTTTCCTCCCTTTTCAGTGAATCAGTGATAAAATAATTGCTGATAAAGATGAAAAATTGGCCAACTCAAGCCTGGTATCCATTATTCTCTAAACTACTTTGTTCAGAATAAATCATTTTCGAGCCTGATTCTGAATTATTGATATCTCCTTCCAGGATGACTTGGCAATCAGCTTTCCCTGATGGCAGGGAGGTTATGCGGACAGCGTTATTAGTTAAAGGATACCCAGAAGAAGCAATAGAAACCACTATCCAATCCATATCAGACTCCACAAAAACTAAATACAGCACATCTTTAAAAAAATGGTGGAATTATTGTTCACTGCAAAAATTTAACCCCTACAAAGCTGATCCAGTAGATGTCATAGGTTTCTTACAAAATGAGTTGCAGATCACAAAGGCAAATTTTGGTACTTTTAATCAACATGTAGCAGCTCTATCATTCATCTTGCCACATGAGTTAGGGAAGAATGTTCTCATATGAAGGTTTCTTAAAGGAATACGAAGATTGAGACCACCAAAATCAAAATACAGTTTCACTTGGGACCCACAGAAAGTCTTATCATACTTGGCTTCCCTAGGCAGTAATGAACATTTACCTTTTGCCATTTCATCTAAAAAAACTACTGATGCTCCTGGCTCTTTCAACTGGACATAGGATACAAACATTGCATTTGATTAGAGTCAAAAACATAATCTTCAACATGGAAGCCGTTCATGTTTATATATCAGATCCTATCAAAACTTCCAGATTTGGATCAACACAACCAAGCCTGGAAATTCCTTATTTTCATGAAAATCCAGATCTGTGTGTTACCTCAACACTCTTACATTACATTGAAAAATCTTCAGCTTACAGACTACCCTCTCATGAATTTCGATTCATAACATCAAAGGAACTTTATGGACGTGCATCAAAGCAAACCTTGAGCAGGTGGATAAAAGAAATTATGAGTAAGTCGGGTATTGACATTTAAATGTTCTCGGCTCACTCTACTCGACATGCTGCAACATCGGCTGCAAGAAGAATGGGTATTTCTTGGGACATGATTAAGAAAACGGCAGGGTGGAGTGCAAACTCTGCGACTTTTGCAAGGTTTTATAATCTACCATTGCAACAGAATGTCTCTTTTTCAACAGCTGTGTTCTCAAAAAACGAAGCTTAATATTAACATTATATGACCATCATTACAATGATGTATTCTGATTTCAATGTTTGGAAATAACATTTTATTCATAAGTTGAATAGTAGATATCTACTGTTACCAGTTGGGCAAGGGAAGAGTAAAGCTGTTCATGTTTTCTTTCTGAACCGCAATATTTATCTGTAAAAGAAGTATGATCTCGAGGACGAGGCGACCCGTAATATAATTATTCGATCAAACGAACTTGTGAAGTTCGATCGGAATTATATTAGGGGCGCCTCGTCCGAAGAAATCAGCCCAACTTGTGCGTTTCAAATGTTCCCGCCCTAATAATAAGTGGACGAAGATGAAAATATTGCGGAATCTCTAAAAGTAATGAAGTTAGGTTAACGAATACAGTATAAGGCATATAGTTGGCAAGGGCCATCGCAAAAACGGTCCTTTGGCTTTTGGAATGAGTGCACCATTAGCACCGATAAACGGTACTACCTAGTATGATATCGAGGACGAGGCGCCCCTAATATAATTCCGATCGAACTTCAAAAGTTCGTTTGATCGAATAATTATGGATTAGGTGTAGGTATCTTGTTATTTTTGTTATTAGGTGAATAGATTTTTAGAAAGTGAAGGCATCAAACTCAATCTTTCGGAATCTTTAGAAGTCAATAAACTAAAACTTGTTGATATGATATTAAATGATCAGATAAATCGTAATCATAACCCATTATTACATCTATTTACATAATCTATAATCTATAGCATAAATTTATTAACAAGAGAAACCTAATTCATAATGTGGTTTATCCCAGTTGTCAACCTATTGTTATATTTATCAAGAAACCAATAACTACCTATTCATATTCATAATTATACAATAAGTAGCAATATCGTGGAATCATTTTATTATTTATTACATTTGCACTTGAAGAATCTTATTTTAGGAAAACAATTGCCATGCATATGAAGTGTTTGTAAAAACTCAAACCCTGATGAATGATTTTCCTCCTTTAACATGAATACTTGTGTAGTGTAGTGTAGTGTGCTCCATTGCGGTCGAAGAACCATACAGTCCATTCAAGGAAACGCGCCTCTGTGCATCTCAGTGTCCCGTCCCTACTGTCATCTGTCATCTCATTGCGAAATTGTCTGTCGATGAATCAGTACAGTCGTTTTATTTTATAACTTTTAAAACGGAAAAATAGTTATTTATTATACAAGGGAAAAAAGTAGTAGATTTTAGCTCCAGGTTGTGTTGTCTCCCGACGCGTAGCGGAGGGAGACAAAAAACCGTGAGCTAAAATCTAATATTTTTCCCGTGTATAATACACTATTTTTTTCTGTGACAGAAGGAAGGACGAATCAATATTGAGAAGATATTACATTATTTCGAAATCTGAAAATTATCGACGTGAAATTTCAAGTTTTTAACAGTAGGGACACCTGCGTTTTATAGACATCTTTATCATTCTTTTGAAGTAATCAAATATCTGATGTCACTTTCTGTCAGTTCAATTCTGTGATTTGATTTTGAAAAATTGCGAATTCAGTAGTTGTTTAGTAATATACGAAACCGCGAAGTCGAATGGAAGATAAAAGGACTTGCAGTTCTTTCTCGGAGACGGTATTATTGACTCATTTTTCGGAACTATAGCACAACAAAAGCCATTAACAGAGTATATATATGTGATATATATCCGGGAAAAAAGTACTCACTTTTTTCCCACGGGAAAAAAGTAATTTATGAAAAGTGACATTTTATAACCTGCCAACAGAGATGAAATGCCAAACTTTTTTCCCGTCACAGAAAAAATGTATTTTTAATGCCGAAGAGATAGTCAAAGGAATATAAGAAACTTCAAGAGAAGTTTAAGAAATTAGAATCCTAGCTAGAAAGACTAGGATTGTCAAGTAAGTTCATCATAAAAGAATGAATTGTTTTAGGTTAGCCGGAAAACCACGTGTGGCCGCTAAGATGATTCAAATAATTCATATGATCTAGTCCTCGTTTTGCGATGGAACTAATGAAATAAGTCAGGTAAAGCAATCATCCCTGTTTTGCAGTGGAATCGATGAGGTGCATGGCTATATGGTAGACCCCATCATGAATAGCCAATGAACACCTAAATCAATGAAACAATCAACATCATCCTTGTTTTGCAGTGGAACCGATGTCATACATGGGTACGTAGTTGACCCAATGAACACCTGAAACAAATCAATGTCCCCGCTTTGCAGTTGACATGTTTGGATTATGATAGAACTCAGTCTGCGTTGTGGTACAATTCAGCTCTGAACCGACCACTGTCCCTAGAAAAACAGCAGAAAGAATATCAATATCAATTATTTATTACTAAAAAGTATTTTTTGACAAGCTCAGAATCTGATGAGAGCTCCCGTAGTGACTCAGAGAGGTCAGTGGAGGATTGGCATACAAGGGTGAAATACAACAGCCAAATATAGTCCCATGGATGACATAGTAGATGTCTTATAGGCTTTGCCTCTGCCACTGGTGTCAAGGTGGACAAGTTTCCTAAAGACAGAGTTCGACAAGTGTGTTATCATTGCTAAAAGCAAGCAGTAATTTAGGTTTTCATCAACCATTTTAGACCAAAATTGACAAAAGGTACAAGTCAACTCCCTAGCTGAAGAAGTAGGTTAGTCACACATCTCAATTTATCAATTGTCAAATGTCCAATGACAAACAACCATCAACACAAAGAGAACTTTTTAATGTTGGGATTTTTCCACAAATTGCCTTCTATTGATGGCCCCCATTTTGAATCCAGAGATTCAGGCAGTGTTCTCTGAGCGACCACATGATGTTTTCATCAGCAAACTGCAGGACCAACCATACTTGGATTTGAGTATGGGAATGAAGTGAAGTTCTTGGTGTAAAGTTGTCAACACTATATTATGTAGATGGAGATGTTACCAGGGTCCATTATAGACCATCAGGTCGTCATAGAAAGGGCATAACTCCTGCAGTTGTACATAAATTATTGAACTCAAGAGAATGGTTCAATTAACCCCATTAAGCAGCTACAGGAAGCTGGACAGATGAGAGTGGGATTGACTTGCTCCTAGCATCAGTACCAAGAACTAATTGAACTCCAAGCGTAGCAATTACAAGCAGAAAATTAAAATTCCAAGCAAATTCCAGGGAAAAAATGAGGGGAAGAGACAGAAGCAGGAGAAGATCATACCAAGATTATCAGCAGTAATAGCTTCATTAGCAGTACCTACCACCCTCTGCAGTAGGGGTCAATTCACACTAGAATGGTCAGAAAGGTGGATATTTGGTTATAAAATACCATTTGGTAGAAGACCCACTGAAAGGAGGTTCCAAAGAACTTACTGTTATCAGAAACTAACCTAACCTAACCTAACCCGTCAATAAATAAATAAATAAAAAAGTATGAACCATGTGTCTTTATTAAGCATAATAAGGGTCTATTGCCTTATATGCTGTCAATGAAGATCTTGCTGAAATCACCTGGGGAACGAACAACCTAGTTGAATTCAACGCCACCAAAACTCAAGCCTGTATTTTCTCTAGAAAGGCGGAACTCAGTATGCCCGATATTGTAATGTCTGGCTCCACCATCCCCACCAAGCCCACCATATCTATGCTCGGTATTTCCATCAGCAACACTCTTTCATGGGATAATCATGTCAGATCCATAGCAAAAGCTGCTTCACAAAAACTCGGATTCTTGTTCCGTGCGAAAAGCTACTTTACAACTCAGCAGCTTCTCATGATCTACAAAGCGCAGATACGTCCTGTTCTAGAATACTGTTCCCACATATGGGGTTCAGCACCAAAACATACGCTGATGCTCTTAGATTCCATCCAGAGAAGAGCCATTCGCCTGGTGGGTGATGGTCGGCGACCTTTCACTTTTCTATCGGTACTTCCACGGGAAATGTTCTTCGGAAATCTCTGCAATCATCCCTTCACTAGCAATACCAATCAGACGAACTAGACAAGCCCAGTCAGCACATCCTTTCGTTGTCATCCTCGAAAGATGTCGAACAGCCCTTTATCAAGACTCCTTCATCCATAGAACGGCTAGGCTCTGGAATTCATTGCCTGTGGAAGTATTCCCAACAACATATAATCTCCAAAAATTCAAAAAAAATTCCAATACCTACCTCCTGTCCCTATCCTCCCTAGGAACGCACGATGTTCTTTGAACATTATAGGGATTCCCTTTCGTGCGCTCCAATCGATAAAAAAAATATGTAGATGACTTATTTATTATTTTAAATTGAAGGATTTAGGTCAAGCTGAGGAAATTTTGGGAATAAATATTAGTATTGACAAGGCAAAAAATTTCATAACATTGGACCAAAGACATTACATAGACCAGTTATTTTCCAAATTCAATATAATAGATTCTAAGGTATGGATACTCCAATAGAGAAAAATTTGAATCTTTTGCTCAGTAATAATAATTCTGATTCTGTGCCATATCAACAGTTGATAGGTGGGCTGATGTACTTGACAGTTATGACACAACCAGACATTTCATATATTGTGAGCTACCTCAGCCAATTCAATAATTGTCATGATAACACTCCTTGGCACAGTGTTAAAAGGTTATTGAAATATTTAAAAGGTAGCAGGCATGAATTTTTGTTTAGTTGACTGAGGTCAACCTGTAATGTAAGTGTAAGCACTCTAAGTACTAAAAGAAGAAAATGTGTTACAAACATAATTATTAGCCAATCAGAAGCAACATGTTTAAAATATCAATTTTTGTGAATACCATTGGGAAGAATGATCACATCTTTTTATGTCATAACAGGTCATAACCAATGTTTTAGTACCAAAACCATTCTGAAATTCCTTCTCAGTGGTATACATAATTATGTCATTTTTCAAAGTTGGCAACTTGAAACAAAGTCCCCCATTCAGTTCCTTTGGTTTATTCTAGGGTTTATCATTATATCATATGTCAGTAATGCCAGTTCAATCCACACCACCTATACCTACAGTCTCAATGGAGACAGGTTTAATGCCACAGAATTTGCATACTATGAGGTGTAGTGGAAAAAGTAACACACCACATAACACACTGGAGTCAAGGAATATTTGGGACAGGGTTGCCAGATGCGGCGCAATAGCGCAAATGTGGCGCATTGAAATTAAGAAATGCGCTGCCAAAACAGAATTGGCGCTTGGCGCTCAATTAGGGCGCACTTCGACAATCCGACAACAAAATTGTGGCGCTTCTGTCTATGGGTTGACGTGATTTTAAGGTTTGATGGCCGGACGGCCTGCATACCCATGGTTTTTGGGACTGGATCTTTGGAAACAAGAAGAAGACTATTCATAGTTTCTGTTCTGTCTGTGCCTGTGACACAGAATAGAAAACTTGTGTGTCTGTGAGCTCTGTACTCACTTGAGCAATTCCTTGACGTATATATGTTTGACAACCTACACCACCCTCACACCATAGAGCAAAGTACAAACCCCTTGATGTGTTCTATGTCTTACACACAAGTGTTTTCCTTTTCCCAGTTTTCTGTTTTGGTGTTTTGTTTGAATTGACGATCAGGAATATGGTCCGACAAGAACATTTGAGAAAATTTAATAAAAATTGGTTGAATGAATCTTGGTCAAAAGGTAATTTTCATTGTACAGTGAGAGAGTGTACCGTATCACACAAATTTGTAGGTTGGCTGCTAGACGCCTCTGATGATCGTTCTTCTTTCCAAGATGCCTACTGTAAGGTATGCAAAGTGCATATCAGAGCCCATAGATCAGATCTCCTGAGGCATTCAAAATCAGCAGGGCATAGTATCCGCATGAAGGCTGTGAATACAAAAAAAAGTAACCAGATCACAGCACATGTTACTGTGGTTTCCGATGAGGAAAAATCTAGAGATTTGATTTTGGCTGTCCATGTTGCAATGCATTCATCTATTCGAACCATGGATCATTTGAATGATGTCCTGAAAAGACTCAAAATGATCCCAAAAACAGATTCCTTCAGATTACACCGAACAAAGTGCTCAATGTTGATAAGAAATGTCATTGGTCCTAGTATTTTGGAAGAACTTCTAGAAGATCTTGATGGAAAACCCTACTCTCTCATTGTTGATGAGAGTACTGATATTAGTGTAGAGAAATATTTATGTGTATGTGTGCGCTACTTCAGTTCACGGCAAAAAGATATTGTAATTGATTTCTTGGGTATGATCAAGGTAGAAAAAACAACAGCTGATGAACTGTACAAAAATGTGAAAACTTTTTTATTGGACCTCAAGCTTGATATCAAATTATTGATAGGCTTGGGAACTGATGGGGCTGCAAATTTGTGTGGGTCGAGAAATTCATTATTTACACTACTCAAATGTGATAATCCCAATATTCAGTTAATTCGCTGTGTTTGTCATTCCTTGAATAATGCTGCTGAAAAAGCATCCCAATCATTACCAGCAAATTTAGATTATTTATGCCGGGAAATCTACAACTGGTTCAGCTGTAGTGCCCTCAGAAGAATTGAATATAAGAGGCAGGCCCCTCTTCCCCACTGGGCACGTGCCCAGGGCCCCGCGAGGATTGGGGCCCCCTAGTCCCGATAGCTACTCTACTCTCGCCTTTCGTAATAATAATTTACTTGAAAAAAAGTGAAAAAAAATAGAAGTGGAACACCGTAGGTTTTAACTAAAAGTCCAGATATCCGGAGACAATAAAAAAATCCACAGATTTACGGAACAATCCGGAGTATTCAGCTGGCAACATTGCCCGACTCGACGATCGGGGATTCCCCTGTATTTATCTCAGCGGCAATTTGTATATTGATATATCATAACCTCGTATGATCGCTTGGTTGTTGTGTGCTGCCTCAATTGAGTTCGTGAAGAGTGTAAAGACATTTGTTTCATGTTCGTTGTTGTTTCTGACTGTGACTGTGCTGTGCTCTTTGAAATACGAAATACTCCCTCTATTAAATCGTCGTTTGCCTGTTTTGTTTTAATGATAATAAATTTGGATAACTTCAAAAATATCATCCGCCGAATATCCCTCGGACATTGACAAATGCCTCATAATTTTATGACAAATTTCTCAAGCTCGTTGCTTGGTAACAGCCCTCAGCCTTTCGATTGTCATAAAATTATCTCGTCTATTATCAAAGTCCTAGGGATATTACTACTGATTATTTTCGATGTAAATATAAACACTAAATTATAATATAAAATGTCGAAACGGTCGTATCCTAGTGGATCTGACAAAAGGAAAAAAGCTGCACACCAGAAGAAAGTAATTGAAAAGTTACCAAAATTAACATCATATTTTTCTACTGGAGAAAGTTCTATAAGTAGCAATCGAACAATATTTTTTCCACATGATGAGTCGTGTCAATCAGAAATAGCGGGATTTTCCAAATCGTCATGTTCTACCAGTTCTACACCAGTTTCTACCAGTTTTGGGGAAGAGATTGAATTGGAAAGCGACAGTGTCTATGACGAAAGTGCAACAACGTCTCCGACTTTACCAACACCGCCAACTGTGCCAGTGGAAGAACAACAGTTTTCCAATCCTGAAGAAGTATCACACGACCCCGCCGATTATTTTCATGAAAATTGTACAGAAGAAGATAGAGAAATTCTGATTCGTAAGGGACCTGTATATTTTCAAAATAAAGATTCTGATTTCTCTGAGACATCCAGAACCTACAAAGATGGCAATAGATTGGTAAGTAGATATTTCAACAAAGAGTTATTTATTCGCAAATTAAAGAACAATGAAAACGTCGAAAGAAAATGGTTGCTGTATTCGCCTTCCAAAAAATCAGTATTTTGTTTTTCATGCTGCTTATTTAATCCTTCTGATTTGAATATATGCTCTCCGAGTGGATGTATTGACTGGAAGCACATTCATCAAATAATTTTATCACATGAAAATAGCCCAATACATAGGCAATCTATGATGACATATCTGGCACGAAGTAAAGCTGTTGGTAGAGTAGATACAGATTTATTATCTCAGTATCAAAAACAAGTGGATTACTGGAAAAATGTTCTTAAAAGAATTGTATCTGTTGTAAAATTTTTGGCTTCGAGAGGGCTTCCGTTTCGCGGTGACAATGAAATCCTAGGATCTCCCAACAATGGCAATTATTTGGGATGTGTGGAGTTACTAAGCGAATATGATCCATTTCTTGCAGACCATTTAAAAAAAATGGGGAATCCCGGAAAAGGCTACATTTCATATTTATCGGCGAATATTTGTAATGAGTTTATTGATGTAATGGGAAAACAGGTCTTGAAAAAAATTATAAATGAAGTTCAATTAGCAAAATATTTTTCCATCAGTGTTGATAGTACACCCGATTTGTCACATGTTGACCAGCTAACTTTCATAATTAGATACGTAAAAGGCGGTGATCCTGTTGAAAGGTTTCTGAAATTTATACCTATTAAAGAGCATAAATCTGAATATTTAGCTGAAACAGTTTTGAATTTTTTAGAGAGTCATGATATACCCATTAAAGATTGTAGGGGACAAAGCTACGACAATGCTTCAAATATGTCGGGAAAATATACTGGACTGCAAGCAAGAATCAAGGAGAAATGCGAATTTGCCGCCTTTGTACCATGTGCGGGACATTCACTAAACTTGGTAGGTGTTCATGCCGCTGGGTGTGTATCAGAGGTGAGACAGTTCTTTGAAATGATTCAGAAAGTGTATAACTTTTTTTCGGGCTCCACCTACCGTTGGAATATATTGACAGAACAGTATTAGAACATTTAGGTCAGAAAAAAGTTGTAAAAAGCCTTTCACAAACAAGATGGTCAGCCCGAGCTGATGCAGTGAGCGCCTTGCATGAAGGTCATAAACAAATTGTAGAAGCTTTGATATCCATCGCAACAGATACAGAACAGGCACAAGAAACTAGAGAAGAAGCCCTTAGTCTGTCCAAGAAGATGGGAAAACTAGAATTTATTATACTAACAGAAATTTGGAGCTCCATATTGGAAAGAATAAACAAAACAAGCAATTATCTTCAGAAAGCAACAATAACACTGGACGTTGCAATTAACTTATTTACTGCACTCGATGATTATATTATTAGCCTCAGAGATAAATTTGATCACTTCGAATCGTCCGCCAAAGAGAAAAACCCGGAATCTGACTATAAGGACCTATCTCAAAGAACCAGACTTAGAAGCTCACGCCTGTCTTTTTTTGATGGCTCTGCGCCATCAGTCCAACTGAATGGAAAAGAAAGATTCAAAGTCGAAACCTTCATCCCCATAATTGATACCCTGAGCCTTCATCTAAAACAGCGATTAAGTTCGTATAAGGGCATTAGTCAACGTTTTGGTTTATTTTTTCGCTTGAAAACTCTGAATTCCGAAGAGTTGAGACAAAGTTGCAAAGAATTTGCTGAAATCTACTATGAAGACGTAAACGAGAAAGAGTTAGAAATGGAATGTCTGCATTTAACAGAATACTTGAAAATTGATGGGAGTAAAAATGAAAAAACGAATAGTATACCGGAAATATATCATCTTTTGAAAGAGAGCAAAATTGAAGACACCTTTCCTAATGTAGAAATCGCACTGAGAATCTTTCTAAGCATGATGGTAACTAACTGCAGTGGGGAACGCTCCTTCTCCAAATTAAAACGGATAAAAAGTGAATTAAGAAGTACAATGCTTCAAGAGAGATTGAATAGTTTGTCACTAATGTCGATAGAATCTGATATGCTCGAAAAAATAGATTTTGAAGATGTTATTAACGACTTTGCTGAACTCAAATCTAGAAGGGTACCTCTTCAATAAGGAGTATAAGGACTATAAGGACTAATCGTGGATGCTGGTTACTTAGTGTGAATTACATGATATAATCTATTAATCATATCTAATGTAACTGTAAAGAAATAAAGGAAAATGCTAAAACTTTGCATTTCTACGTTATTTGTCTATTCTAACAAAATAGTACTTTATTATGGTCAGAGGGGCCCCATTATTCTAATGTGCCCAGGGCCTCCGATAGGTTAAAGACGGTCCTGATAAGAGGCTGTTTAATATATTAAATAATGGATATGAAGATGAAAAAGTTTTTCACCAATTTATTCAGCTGTCTCAAACTCGTTGGTTATGTAGATATAATGCTTTGAATGTTTTGAGTGAACATTATGAGGAATTGAGAGTTCACTTTTCTACAGTTGTTGATAAAGAAAAATGCTACACAGCACGTTTACGGAAAGATATGTTAGAAGATGATAGAAATCATCTCTATATATCTATTATAAAACCAATTATTTGAAAAATTGTATTGAAATAGGAGATGCCTATACAGATTTGGATTAAGAAAGTATTGAAGGTTATTTTTATAAATGATATCAATACAATAATCAAAGCAATAGACAATGAGTTAGCATACAAGAATAATGAATTTGATTTTGGTATTCAATATCATAGACTAATAGACTATTAAACAAGAAATCACATTTGGACAAAAAAATTATTGAATCTGTAGAAACTCGCTCTTTTGAGTATATCAAAGCATTATTGGGGGAATGTGTGAAAAGACTTCCAAATAATATTTCACATTTCAAGAAACTTTATGTGTTCAGTCCAAAGATTATTATCAATCCAGGTTCTAAAACATGTTTTAATGATTTACCATTTACTTAAGTCTATGCCTAGCCTCTAGGCAGGCAACACCTGTGCGTGAGAATCCAGTTTTTACAGTACTCGTCACACCTGTGCTTATCTCGAGAGTTTTTTTATACTTGTGCTTTTTATCGACACCATAAAAACATCAACAATGCCAGCCAAAAGGATAAATACATTCTGTATCAACTTTAGAGAAGTTCCGAAAAAACCAACACATCAATCAATTCACAATTGGATTTTTGAAAACATAACTTTGGACCCGAAAACCATTGACACCATACAAATCCCAAGCCTCTCCAAACAGGTCTACATGAAAATGTCCAACTTAGCCACAGCTCAACGAATTGTCTCTATGTACAGCAACACACAGCTGAAATATCAAACCGATGATGGAATATATCCAGTAGAAATCTAAACTGCTCCACATTTGAAGTGAGACAAGCAAATATTTTGTTTGTTTTCGAACCGTCATAACTTTGGACGGGATCAACCGATTTTCGATTTTTTTTGGGATTCGAATTGCTCAGTCAATTGGGTATAACATAATTTTCTTACGTTCCTCCACCTTTTCAGAATCATGACCTACAGGATGATATCTGAAAGTGTGATAATTTTCGAAAAGTTTGAGGTCACCCCGTTAGTAGGATAATTTTTGAAATTTTTTTCTGACTGCAAAAACATGAAGCCTGATGTGTTTTCTTGAAATTGTTTCGAATTCATCAAGATCCATACAGGATGTTTTGAGATATGCAATTTTGAACAACATATGGCCTCTCGAATTGTTTGAATAACTCTAATTCATTGGTTCACCCCGCGGTATAATCTCATGTTGTCTGGGAAGTAATCAGAAGTTGTCATACTTTTGATTATTGTAATAAAATATGCTACGACTAGCTATAGAACAATCACAAATGGTTCTCAGAATGAGAGATTTTGGATTAAATGTTGAAGACATTGGACAGTATTTCTCCACATCAAGAGCTTCAATATACACCATGCCGAGAAGAGTTAGGGCTCTCGTAGCAGCCAAGGGTGGTGTAACAAAATATTGATAAGTGACATCAAAACTTCCGTTGTTGATTCCTCTTTATTGCAAAATATTGTGGTACATATGATCTGTATTCTCTTCGTGGTATGTTCATCAATTCTCATTATTTTTATCCTCTGAAAAATACATCCTGATGAGCTTTATCGAGCTCTGACTATTGTCCCAGTCACAATTATGCAGATTTATGTAATATTCTACAAAATATTGTATTTATAGCCAGAAACATTCAATGTCGTTGTTGTTTTGGAATGATGATGATGATGATGAAAAATCTAACATTTCTAAAAGAAACAAAATTCTACTATACTACTGGAGCAACAATAAAAAACAAAATTTTATTCATGAAATAATCACTCCACATTTATTTAATTCCTAACTACGAACTAACAGTTTGTCTTGGCATGAGTATGTCGCGAATATCGCTATATAAAGCAGTTTCACAGAAGCTGAGATTTTTCTTTCTCGTCAAGAAGTAGGTACTTTACACCGCAGCAGCTATTGAATAGAATAGAATAGAATAGAATAGAATAGAATAGAATAGAATAGAATAGAATAGAATAGAATAGAATATTTATTTCATGTGAGTTCGTGATAAGTCGTATGGCGCGCTTTTGCAGACGAAAAACTCGGATTGAGTGTTTTGAGTTCCCCCATAGTATAATTGCATAGTTAATATGTGATTGAAATAAGGCATGATAGGCAGACAGTAGAGAATTAAAATCTAGGTATTTTTTCAGTTGCCTAAGTAGGTACAGTTGGGATGATAACTTCTTGCTCAACATCTCAATGTGTCGTAACCAAGTTAATCCATCGTCAATAGTAACTCCTAATAGTTTGACACTGTTTCCAGTTTTGATGCTGCTGTTAGAAGTCACAATCATTTTCTGAGTTTTGTCTCTGTTGAGGTTCAAATTATTAGAGGAAAACCATGTTTCAGCACTTTTTTCGGCTGCAGTCGAGAGTTCGTTTAGAGTGTTAAGATTATTGTGAGACTGAATCAATGTTGTGTCATCAGCGAAACAGATGCATAATCCAGGTGACACAAAATGAAAAATGTCATTCAAATAAATTATAAATAAGAGTGGTCCTAGGACGGAGCCCTGTGGGACTCCATGAAGGACTTCCTGAAATTCCGAAACGGAGTTATCTAGATAAACCGCTTGTTTTCGATTTTCGATATATGATTTGAAAAATTTCAGTGCTACACCTCTTATTCCATAAAATTCAAGTTTTTTCAGTAGCAGGTTGTGCGAAACACAGTCGAAGGCCTTGCTAAGGTCACAAAGGCTCAATGAAGAGTGTTCACCCCTCTCAAGACCCCCGACTATGCTTTGCACAATCTGTGTCATACTCATACTCATACTCATAATTTATTGGTGCTAATACACAAAAAGCGTTTACACAAGTCAAGATTACAAATTGAAAATTTCATACAAGAAAATACTTATAGACATTCAGAAACAACAGTTGAATATAAAATACAAATTAAAACCTGGTACATCGAGTGACAATACAATACAAATTAAAATATTAAGTAAAAAATCAGTTTTGAGGATTTAGCAACATAAAAACAATTAGTTCCAAGTAAAATTGAGAAATTCTTCTTTGTCGTAGAAGGGATTCCTAAGCAATACTTCGTGTACCGTTCCCCTAAACATTTTATCAGGAAGTGCTCTCACACTTTCTGGTAATTTATTGAAAAATTTCACAGCCCAATAATTTGTTCCACTCCGACACCTTTCCAGCCTCCACAAAGGTACCGAGAGCTGCTCCCTGCCTCGAGTGCCGTGCTGATGCATTTCGCCAGCCTCCGAGTACCGGTCTAAGTTGCATTTGATGTATAAAAGGTTTTCAAATATGTACATATTTGGAAATGTTAATATTTTATTATCAATGAAAGCATCTCTGCAATCATCCTGATACCCAAGGCAGCTCAAAATCCGCACGGCTCTGCGCTGCAAGGAGAACACTGGCATGGCCCCAAGCAACAATGGCATAGGACACCAGTGAGTGAAATAACGCAAAGTATGCAGTTCGCAACACCCCATCTGAAACTATGCCTGATAAATTTCGCAACACAAAAATGCCACTTTTTAAACGCTTTGAAAGAGACTCTATATGGGTGTCCCACCGAAGACCAGTGTCAAGATGCACCCCCAAGAATTTTGTTGCCTCACGGGAGAGTGTGCAGTCCGTAGGTACTTCTCTCAAGGAGAATATCATACGGCTCGTCTTCGAGTTGTTCAGTATAAGACTATTGTTCCGAAACCAGTTTTCAGCCCTCGACTGTGCCCCACAGACCTCATCCATTAAACTTGCCAGGTCAGAATCCCTAACGGAAATTGTGGTGTCATCAGCGAACAGGACATATCGTTCTGTATTGCCTATACAAGGTAAGTTGTTAATGTAAATAAGGAAAAGAAGTGGTCCCAGTATGGACCCCTGGGGAACTCCTATATCGACTACTCCTATCCCTGACGACACCCCATCAACCACTACTCTTTGGACTCTATTTTTCAAATATGAATTTATGAGTTCAATGCTATTTACATTGAACCCATAGTACTTCAGCTTTCTGATGAGCAGTTCATGTGACATACAGTCAAATGCCTTACTAAGATCACAGAAAACAATGCCAGTATGTTCTCTGTTTTCAAAACCATCCATTATGAAGGCAACCAAGTTTAATATGCCGAGCACGGTACTGCGACCGCCGCGGAACCCAAACTGTTGTTCGCTAAGCATTAAATTTCTCTCCAGATACTCAGTCATCTGCACAGCCATACATTTTTCTATTA